AATAGAGACAAAAACACACAGACATATTGGGAAGACAACCATGGAAGATGGAAACAGAGACTGAATTTATGCTGCCATAAGGCAAAGATTCTTCAGGTTATTAGAAGCTATATGAATCTTCCCCTAGAGGGTCCAGTAGGAGCACAGTCCTGCCAACACCTTAATTGTTGACTTCTACTCTCCAAAGCTGTGAGATAATAAATTTCTCTTGTTTTAAGCCATCCAGTTTATAGTGCTTTGTTACAGCAGCCCCAGGAAACTAACACACATAGTGAATACTCAAAATTTATTTGATTTGTTGGTAAGATAACTGCTCTTATGTAATAATATATAATTTTTTTGTATTTTAAAGCTGTACAGATATAGATATAGATACATACTGTGAGGTAATATAGTTTACTGGAAAAAGCAAGGGCTTCTGGAATCAAACAGACCTGAGTTTAGAATTTTGCCATTCTCTCACCTAAGCCTGTTTCTTCAACCATAGAATGAGGAGGATTAATGAAAATATATAAAATCCTGTCCAGTACAGAGTTTGATATTTAATAATGTTAGTTCTTTTCTTTCCTGGGTACATTGGCATAGCTAATCTCAAAGAAATTTGGTCTTGTATAAAAAAAACTCTAACATATTAATTAAATTGACAAAAATATATTGATCACATTATATACTCTGTACTAAAAAGATATCAGAAACATGTCCCTACTTTTTTTTTTTTTGGTCTTCCTTTCTTATTTTCCTGTTTCTCCACTTTTTCCTGCTCCCATGATAAGGATAAGGGTCAGATAATCCCAGGTTTCATGGAACTTATAAAACTAATTGATTCTTGAAAAATATTTGTTAAGATTTAGTTATGCAGAGAAAAGCCAAAAGAACATTCAAGGAACTTCCTTCCACCCAACTCCATAGAGGAAAAGAAACAATTCTTGTAACGCGGCAAAGTGCTGTATGTCCTCTGAAGCAATAGGGAGTACTTGTTGAACTGTGGTTTCATTAATCAAGAACTATTTTTTATGAATGAGGACCTATTTCCGTATTTCAGTTTCTTCCTTGGAAGAGAATTAACACTGCCTTTGACTGAAAGTATAGGTGTCCCTCCAGACACAGGCGAGGCATGAAGTGCTTCAAGTTTCTCTTTCTGATTCCTAACTAACTTTATCTAACTTTCTTGCCTTTTTTTTTTTCTCCTGGCCACGTATCTCCTTTTGAACAATGTTGCCTCAGAGTTTTTGATTTGTTGCCTTCTATGTCAGATTCTTCTTCTCTGCCAAATTATGTACTTCCCCTAAGGACGACTTCAAAACTTATCTCCAGGAAGCCTTTTCTGTTTAATATAAAATGATTTACTTTTGTTTTACAACTTCAAACCTATACATCTAATTTAAATTCAACTTGGGGTGAAACATTTTCTCATTTAATGATTAACAAAGGCCTAACCCACTAACATTTTTCACCCTTAAATTTGACTATTTTTAGCACTTTGTACTGTTGATCTCTCCTGTCCCTCCTTAAAACTCCCTTAGCTTCAGTAACACCCATTTTCTCTCATCTGATCCCTCTCCCACTCAACGTTTATATACCCCGTGCTTCCATTTTTAACCTCAATTTCATTTCTTTAGTCATCAGATATCTTTGAGTTTCTATTTTGGGTCAGTGCCTATGCTACATGATATGGATACAGCAGTGACCAAGAGACAGATACAGTGTATGTACAGGGTTTACAATTGAGCAGGGAATATTAGAGGAGGTCTTAACCTCATTTAAGGGCTTAGGGAAGACATTTCCGAGAAAGAGAGTTCTAGTTGAGTCCTAAAAAAGATTAGGTTCTAGTGAGGTAAGGAATGAGTGAGGAATGAGTGAGAGTTTTGTAGGAATAAGAAGCTTGGGAGAGATGAGAAGAGGGTTCCCAATGTAGAGCACTGTAGTTTCAAAGCACAGAATAGGGAAAAGCATGGAAAGTTTGAGGATCTAAAATTTCAGTATGTGGAGTAGAGGAAGCTAAAGGGAGAATGATAATATTTGATGCTGGACTGCAAGGCTGAAGTCAGACTGCCAAAATATTTGCGAGCTATGTTAAGGGCAATAGGAAGCCATTGATTGGCTTTCCCTCATTTCTACTGCATGTTTTATTTTTACTTTTTAACAACCTAGTTGTATAATTTACATAAAATATACTGCATCTATTTAAACTTTGCAATTTGATGACTTTTGATAACTTTATACATCTGTGTAATCACCATGACAATCCAGATATAACATTTTTACCACTCCTTCAAAGTTTCCTCTTGTCCTTTTGTCTTCCCTCCCTCCTCTTCTGGTATCAAGCAACAATTATTCTGTTTTCTATTATTAAACATTAGTTTGCTTTGTGTAGACAACTATATAAGTGGAATCGTAAGTATGTACTCTTACATTGGGCTTCTTTCACTCAGAATAATGGTTTTGAGATTCATCTATGCTGTTGAGTGTATCAGTAACGCATTCCTTTTTATTGCTGAATAATATTCTGCTGCATCGATTTATCACATTTTGTATATCCATTCACCTGCTGATGAACATTTGGGTTTTTCCAGTTTTGGGGTTTTGTGAATATAGCTACTACAGATATTTGTGTATAAGTCTTTGTGTGGCCATATGTTTTCATTTATCTTAGGCAAATATCTAGTAGTGAAATGGCTGGGTCATATTTATAATATAAATATTTAACTTTAAAGTTATATTTAACTTTATAAGGAGTTGCTAAGCGGTTTTCCAAAGTGGATTCACCATTTTATACTCCCACCAGCAGTGTATGACAGTTGTAGCTGATCTACATCCACACTAACACTTGGTGTTGTCAGTCTTTTTATATTAGTCATTTTAATGGATGTGTAATGGTGTCTCACTGTGGCTTTAATTTGCATTTTCTTGATGACTAATTTTATTGAGCATCTTTTCACGTGCTTATTTGCTATTCATAAATCTTTGATGAAATGTCTGTTCAAATATTTTGCTCATTTCAAAAACTGAGTTGTCCTTTATTGAATTGTCTTAAGTGTTTTTATATATTCTAATTTTTTCTTCCACTTTTATTGAGATACAACTGACATACAATACTGCATAAGTTTAAGGTGTATAGCATGATTTGACTTACATACATCATGAAATGATTATCACAATAAGTTTAGTGAGCATCCATCATTTCATACAGATACAAAATGAAAGAAGTAGAAAAAAATTTTTCTTCCTCTGATGAGAATTCTTAGGATTTACTCTCCTAATAACTTTCATATATAACATACAGCAGGGTTAATTATATTTATCATGTTGTACATCACATCCCTAGTACTTATTTATATTATAAGTAGAATTTTGTTTTGACCTTTTGACCACCTTATTCCAATTTCTTCTCCCCCAACCCCCTGCCTCTGGTAACCACAAATCTGATCCCTTTTACTATGAGTTTTTTGGCTTGTTTTTGAAGTATAACTGACCTACAACAATATATTAGTTCCTGTTACACAACATAGTGACTTGGCATTTCTATGCATTTCAAAATGATCACCACAAAAAGTCTAGTTATG